TATCAATGCTTGACTTTGCAGGGTTACCCCAGCCAAGTACCTGGCAAGAATTAGGTGCTTAATAAACAGTTGTCAAATGGAGTAAGTGCTTTAAGAGATGAATTGAGTTTTTGTGGTTAGAGTAAGTTAAGAATACCTGGATATACAATATTGAAATCAAACTTTTGGCAGCAGCATACACATAGCTGTACAGCCTGTGGTCTGAACTCTGCCATAATTTGGTGACATAGGTAAAAGCCCAACTTTATACAATGGAATTTACTTGTATGCTCTTATTTGATAGTCAGGACTGATAGTAACATTAGGGCTTGTCACTTATATTTAGGAATAAGACATGGAGCAGTTGCTTTGAGTCTTTAGAGTACACCAGTGGTTTTCAGATGGGTCAGCATCTTCTGAGATCTTGTTAAAGCCAGTATCACTGGGCCCACTGTCATAGGGTCTGATTCAGTAGGTCTGAATGATTCTCTGGAGTTCCCAGGTGATGCTGCTGCTGCTGATTCAGGAACGACACTTTGCTAATTGGTGAGATGGACACACAGTTGGGATGTTGATTTCAACCACAGAAAATTTCATGTACCAATAATAACATGCACATAGATGATGGGAGTCATAAGGCTGTGCTCAATATTGACCAGAGTTTTAATTTGCAACCTGAAAATACAGAGTTGTAGGTTTGGGAGTGTGGCTGGGTGGTAGAGCACCTGTTTAGCATGAATGAGGTCCTGAGTTTGATCCCCAGTTCCACCAAAAAACAAAACAACAACAAAAGAACAACAGAGTCTATGAATTATAAATATTGCTTTAAAAAAACTCACTTGTTAGGAGTGGTGGCACATGCCTACAATCCCAGCTCCTTGGAAGACTGAGGCAGGAGGATTCCAAGTTCAAGGCCAGTTTCGGAAGCCCTAGTTTGACAAAATAAAATAGAAAGGGGGATGTAGCTCAGTGGTAAAATGCCCCTGGGTTCAATCCCCAACCTCCAGTCTCCCAAAATAAACAGACTAAAAAAATCTGAAAACAACAAATGAGATATCCCCTAGAAGCTCATGCGTGATTCAATGCAAGAAAGTTTAGAGGTGAAATGATTGGGTTATGAGAGCCTTAACCAAAATAGTGGATTAATTTCCTGATAGAGGTTAACTGGGTGGTAACTGTAGGCAGGCAGGTAAGGTTTGGCTGGAGGAAGGGGGTCACTGTGTGTGTGCCTTGGGGTTTTTATTTTGTCCCTGTGATGGAGCAGTCTTTCTCTGCTTCCTGGTGGCCATATCCTGAGCTGATTTCTTCCACCACAACCTTCTGCCATGATATTCTGCCTCATCTTGGGCTCAGAGCAATGAAGCTAGCCATCTGTGGACTGAGACCTCTGAAACCATGAGACTAAATAAACTTTCTCTCCTCTAAAATTGCTCTTGTCAGGTCTTTTGGTCAGAGTGGCAAAAAGCTGACTAAAACAAAAGTGCTTATCCATTTAAAGACTGTAAAATTTTTGTAGGCATCTACTCTTAGAAAGTTCAAATGGTTTTATTATCTAAGTAGTGGAATGAAATTGAAATTTCCTCACTATATCTCAGTTTATTCTTAAAGCTTAGTATAACTTGAAAGAAAAGAGAAAGTGGATAAGTGGAGAAGTGATGGGTTTGTTAATTAATTACAGGCAGCCATAGCAAGACAAATCATTGCTTTGACCTGACATTTTATTTGAGGTTTACTGTGCAGTTTATGGAAGCCATTTTCTTGTTACCTTGAGAGTTATTACTGCTGTCAATTTGTTGCTTGATAAACTGAGGCCTGATGAAAGGTTCTGGTCAGGGTTATGCTGCAGAAATTCAGGAGCCTCTGCTCTGGGAAGATCTCAGAAGGCTGGAGTCCTTGGGTTTCTATTTCATTCTTTGACTGCTGTGTTTTGTTTTCTTTATGAAGAACATTGCTTTTAAAGGGCAGGCCCCAAGGGATAGCTTTTTCTACTGCAGGGACAGGAGTAAGTTTCTAGCATGCCCTCCTAAGTGTCTGTAAGGTTGTACAGGAATGAACCACCAATGGTTATGACTGGCAGGGGGAGTAGGACATCCATTCTTCTGATTTAAGATGTACGACATTTATCGTTTGGGGGAAGTTCAGATTGCTTTTGTTATCAGGTAACTAATAAAAGATATGATATTGAAAACAAAAGAATTAGATACTGAAAAACACCATTTGTGTCACCAAATTTGGTGTTTTAAATAAGAGAAAGGTCCAGTGAGGAAACTCAGAAAAGAATGGACATGTGCCCTCTTTGGATACAGAGTTGGGGTGTGGAATAATGAAATTGGAATGGCTCATCTCACTAGCAAGGAATAGAAGAGAAGAAAGGGAAAGGAAAAAAAATCACGGTTCTTTGGTAATGTAATCATGGAGCCTAAATGTGGGATGATTTGCTATTAATTTATACAAAAGAGATTCTAGTGCTGACTATAAAGTGAGGCCATATGAGAGTTTTTGTTGTAGATCTAAACAAAACCTTCCAGAGCCTGCACTTTTTGAGTTACATGCTCCCTTACATCTCTTCTTCCTTCCACACAATCAGGCAGCAGACACTTTCTGAGTGCTTTCTTTGAGCCACACAGTGCTGAGGTTTTCTTTCCACAAGCCTTCTCTCCTGCCTAGGGACTCTTAAACCTTCTCTGAGTTTAAAAAATGAAACAGAACTTATGACTCCTGGAGCTTCTATTTTTAATTTACATTTGTTTTTTGATGACAAGTTACTTGAAAAACCATTATTCATTGATTCCCCTTGGCAAATGCTTGCCACTCTGTCTGACAATGTCCTAAGCACATGGGACAGTGGGGGAACATAGAGGTGGGGTGGAGATTGATCCCACCTTCTGATCTTGCTTGATCTTACCTTCTGGTGGCAGAGAAGGCCATTCACTGCCTTCATCTGTTTCTATCTCCTTCACTTGCTGTCAGCTGTCTTGTAGGATACCTTCTGCTCCGTGGCTCTTGGTCCACATTAAAATGACCTAGTCATCCGTGGGTCTTTTCCAGAGTGGATTTTGCTTGATCTCATAGCAGCAATTGACACTGCAGCCTATGCCCCTCTGCTCTCCATTTTCACTTTTGCCTTTTGTGACATTGCATCTCCCTCCTCTATGAATTGGTTTTGGCTGCCCACCCTGACCCCATACACAGCCATTGGATCTCAGCATCTCCCAAGAGCACAGGTTTCATTTCCTCATGCTTGTTCAGCCCTCCCGGGTCTAGGTTTAGCAGAACATCCCTCCTTCGTCTCCTGCCACACCCAGGCTCCAGCTCTCTGTCTCCTGCTGAGTCTAATTCATTCTTGGCATCCATCAGCCTTCCAGTTCTGTTAGACAAGGCCCCCTTCTTACATTGCTAGTCCTCTGAGGTCTCTCCCTGAATGATATCGGTGGCTCCTTAGTGAGTATCTCTGCTTCGGGGCTCACTCTCCTTCATTCATCTTGAGAATTTCCACTGGGTGAATTTCCCAGTGCACAGCTCTCTTGTGTAACCTCCTTGCTGAGGAATCCTTAGTGGTTCCTGCTGCTTCCCAAAGGGAGTCCAGAGTGCTGGGCAAAGGCTCCCCTCGCCTGGCTCCAGCCCATCTTTCAGTGTATCTCTGTCTCCGTTTTCAGCCAGTTCTTTGCCTCACTCTTCTGCCCTCTACTGCTTCTATTCCTCCTTCTTTGCTTCCCTTTTCTCCTCTCTTCTCCTTGTTTTCCACCTGTATCCTGCTCCTTTATTTTATTTATATATATTTTTCTTTTATGCTGGGGAACAAACCCTGGGCCTGGTGAATGCTAGACAAGCATAGTGCCCTGAGCCATACCCCAGGCCTCCTCCTTTTTCAGGAGCATCTCAGATCCTGTCTTTTCCATGAAAGTCTCTGATTCCTTGCTAGGCTGCGAGTCATTTTCTCTTCTCTGACTTACCTAACTGTTTATGGTTATTCCTGTGATACCAGGTTGTGGTGTTTTGTAATCCCAATGTCTCTTTCATCCTAGAGTGTAGGCCTCCTCTGGGCAGGACAGGCAGACACCTTGCAGCACCATTTCAGGCACCTGGCTCATCTCTTAAGAGCATTGTTTGGTAAATGTCCACTGGATGGGTAACTAAAGAGTTCATCAGTCATTTATTTTGACAACAGTTAAAGCCTATGCCAGCACTTGGGAAACCAGCCTTTGACCAAATTGGTCCTCTTCCCATTTGTGAATAAAGTCTTACTGCAACATAAACACTCTGAAACATTGACTGTGGTTGGCAAAGCCTCACATAGTTTCTAACTGACTTTTCTTTCTTTTTTAAAAAATTTTTTTTTGTAGTTGAGGATGGACAGAATGCCTTTATTTTATTTGTTTATTTTTATGTGGTGATGAGGATCAAACCCAGTGCCTCATGCATACTAGGCAAGCATGCTACCACTGAGCTACAACCCCAGCCCTCTGACTTTTTTCAGAAGTTTGTCTACCCAGGTTCCATATTGTTGTCCAGACTGCCAAAGCATACAGTGCCAGCTGCAGAAGGAAGTTAGGAAACTGTGATTAAACTCTTAGCCTCTTGCTTTGGCTTTCTGACATGTCTATGTGGACGCCATAATTAGGGTTCTGGGGTGTTTTTGTACTTTATCTAAAGTGAACTGCAATTAATTTTGTGGTAAAAATATCCAGACAGGTTAACTGGATTTGATCTCTGTTTTTTGACATTAGGGTGGGAATTTGGGGATATGTTTTATACTGTCAGGCTTTATGTAATTAAAATAGCCTCTAAAATACTTTGGTGTTCTCAGTAAAAATATTCAGCAATGGTGTTTGAGCTGTGCCACCAAATGTCAGATTAGAAACCCCCTTGGCCACAGATGTGGCAGATGGCTACATTCCAACAGATCCATGTTATTTGCTCTACAGAACCTGGCAGAGGGAGGTGATGCATTTCCAGGGTTTAGAGGGAAAATTTTGTGTTTCATGAACCCCCACATGAACAGTGTTTCTTTTTCTTTTCAGAGGGACGCATGGTCATCCAGGACATTCCTGCTGTCACCAGCAGAGGGCACGTGGAGAACGCACCTGACCTGGTTTCAGACTCCACCTACTACAGCAGCTTTTACCAGCCTTCTCTGTTTCCTTACTACAACAATCTGTACAACTATCCGCAGTACTCCATGGCCTTGGCTGCTGATGCCTCTTCTGGGGATGTGGGAGGTCCCCTCGGGGGATCCCCTGTGAAGAACAGCCTTCGGAGCCTTCCAGCGCCTTATGTGTCTGGTCAAACAGGAAACCAGTGGCAGGTATGATGTTACCCAGGGAGTCAACTGGGTATGTGAAAAATACACAAGCACAACGTGCACATAACACACAGGGACTTAAATGTATACATGCACACAGAAACGCACCATGTGCCTGTACATGGTTACACCAGTTTAGCACATAGTGTAGGCTGACACGGTATGCAAAACATATACAGAATTTTTCACTCTGCTAATACTACCATTTAATATTGGCCATTAGCTGCAAGGAGTTACAAAGAAATATGCATATGTTTGGGTTTATTTTAAAATTTTACTTTGCCCATATTCCTAGTAGGCCCTCATTAGTTGCACACATAGCTTACAGGATGAAGCCCCACTTCCTGCGGCCATGTCCACCATGGTGCATTTTAGAAAATGCAAGGTACAACCTTGTGGGTGGCAGTAATTTTTCTGATGAGTTTGCACCCTGGGAAGGAAGAGTGTTATAATTTGTATGATTACATGGAAGAAAGGTTAAAAAAAAAAAAGCAATTAGGTAGCTGTTGTGCTGGGCCAACTTGGGTACATTTTTTGCTAGGAATGGAGGTCAGTCTTTCATATTCTTAAGTATGTATTATTAAAATACTGTGCTATCAAGAACTTTTTAGTATTTAGAGTAAAACACAGCATTTTTGTTTTACCATGGAAAGAGCTTATCTAGAGCTGTTCTGCTTCCTCGGGTAACCCTTTCCACCATGCCTGTGTATTAGCAGGTTCACGGTGCTGAAACCCTGAGAGGCTAGAAGACAGTGATGCATGTGTCCTAGGAACTTATGCACGGAAGAGGTTAGACTGCACCACCAAGACTCCTCCATCCAAGAGAAGTTAGGATTCTGTGAGGCCTGTTCTCATTTTAGATGCATTTACCGTGCTCGAGCTAAGCTGGGGTTTGACTCTGACAAAATGCTGCAACATATATGTTTGGGAGTTAGTGCAAGTTTTTACTTTCTTTTTTTTTATTTCCCAGATTTATTGAGGTGTGTTTGACAGAATTGTGTATATTTAAGTTGTTTATGTGATGATTTGAGGTGTTCTAATTGTATGGTGACTATCAGTCAGGCTGATTTTTTTTTTTTTTTGGTGTGTGTGTGGGGTGGGTAAAAACATTTAACAACTGGTCCTTTGACATTTTTCAAGCACACGGTATTATTGATAGTTACCATGCTATATATTAGACTTCCAGAACTTTCTCATGTTGTAACTGAAGTGAGCCTTGACCAGCATCTCCCCATTTCTCCCACTCCCAGGCAACCACTGTCTTACTTTTTGCTTCTGTGAGTTCAGCTTGTTTTAGGAGTCTTTCATAACCTTTCTCAACTCCCTCCAAAACATATGAATTGAAATTTTTCCTTGAGCAATTCTATTTCATTTTGCCTCTGCCTTTTTTTGGTGCCTGTGGGGGCTACTGGGAATTGATCCTAGAGGTGCTTTACCACTGATCCACATTCCCTGATCTTTTTATTTTTTGAGATAGTATCTTGCTAAGTTGCTGAGGCTGGTCTGGAACTTGTGATCCTTCTGCCTTGTTGGGATTATCAGTATGCACTATTGTGCTTGGTTTTGCCTTTTTTTTTTTTTAAGGTGTGGGGGAAGTTGTTAATATTCAAGTCACCCCACTTGGATTCTCCTGCTACCTTCAGGGATCTAACTTCTTGGACAATTAAAATGTTAGCTTTTAAAATGTCAGCTTTAATCCCCTGAGCTACAAATTTTCAAAAGTCTTTCATACATTTCACTTTTGGAACCATACTTTTTTGAAGGAGACTTAAAACACATTGCTATTAGAATTGAGAGGTAGAATGAGCATAAAGGAAATAAGATGATTTCTAGAACTTCAAACTGGGCCTCTCCAAGCCTGTCAAAATGCAGTTGAAATTCTATGATTTGGGGCAGATTTGGGGTTGATTTCTTTTGGAGACTCTCTTCCCTGAGGGAGAAAGGAGCATATTAAGGATTAAAAAACAAAACCAAACCCACCTTATCCTGCTGATTCCCAGGGATGAGGAACTGCTATCAGAATATCCTGGTTTTCTGGCTGCTTCCTGGCTTTGAGGATGAAGTAGGTGGGAGGGTCTGTGTGAACCTGTTTGTGAACCTGTTGGCTTGAATAAAGAAATTTTTTTTGAAAGAAAGATCAACTCTAAAGAAAAGTCAGAAATCTCCTAAACTAAGGTTCTTTTCCTTGTTGTCAAACCTTTCAGATGGCAGATGTTGCATGACACAGGGGTATATATTCTTAATCTTCCCAGAAAGTCTGAGAAAAGTGTAACTGAGGTCTTGGATTGTCTTGGAGGTCCCTTACACCAAGGTCCACAATCCCGGGACAGTGTGAAGAGACCTGTTCTCTGGAGAGCCAGCCATGCCCGTTGCCATGCCCAGGGAGAGATCCCTGGGGGCATGGTTTGCTGAGAGACAGACTTGACTCAGTGTGTACCTGCTAGCCAGAGTGGGAGGAAGAAGCTAAACCTTCTTTGTCCTGTGGGGGATGTGCAGTTTTGATACTTAGTGCTTCCCATAGAACTTAACAGGACTGGAGAGAGGCACCGCAGGTTAGAGTCCCAGGACAGACACTGAGGCACCATTTAAGGAATAGTTTGTTTTTCCAGAGAACCAGGTTTAAGTTTTCTTAGTTCCTAACCAGTCACAGTCATTGATTGTTTCTCATATAACAAGTTATTTTTCAGCAGTAGGTTCTTCTGTCCTACTGTGGTTGCTGTCCTATTGTGGTTGTTACATGTTCTTAGTTAATAATAGCATCAGTAATGAGAACCATCGTTTATTGAGCAGGTGAGGACATTGAAACTCAGGACGGACTTACCTGAGTCACTCAGGGACTAAGTGGAAGAACCTGGGTTTGAATCTGGGCCTGTCTGGCTCCAAAGTATGTCAGCACTATCTGGTCATCACTGGGTCTGCAACAAACTCAGGAATACATGACTGCCTCCCAGTGCCCTCTGGAAACTCAGACCTCCAGGGAACATGCAGAATGTCTCTTCAGGTGAACCTTAACTGTGGGAGGGATTCAGTACGAATATTGAGGCCCTTTCTAGTTCTTTAGGGCTTGGGATTGCTACCTCTTGTTTGTTTGTTTTTTATGTTTTTTATTTATGTATGTATTTATTTATGTGGTGCCGGGGATTGAACCCAATGCCTCATGCATGCTGGGCAAGCGCTCTACCACTGAGCCACACCCCTGGCCCCTGGAATTGCTACCTTTTATTTTCCATTGGAGATATTTTCTTCACTTGTGGAGGTCAGAAGTATGTAGAAATTTTTAGAATAGGGCTGATGGATGATTACGACCCAGAAGTTGAGGATAGAGCCCTTATACTTTTCTAAAATATGCAGTCTTGGATGTCAGTATTTAAAATATGCTGAATTCCTTAACTATTAAAAGTAACTATTTTGAAGTTACTTTTGAGATCTGCATACTAATTTTCTGTGAATATGATTATAACTAAAGCACATTTGAGTTCACTCACAAGAGTGTGTATAGCATAAAAATGATCCCCACAGTTTGGATGAAGGGACTCTACCATATGACCTGTTCCCTCAAAATTTGACATTTTATGAGTTTGAGGATCAATCTTGTAACCAAATGAAACCACAGACTTGACTTACAGTTTTTTTTAGTCACGCCCACAAAAGTCAGTTCCACTGAAAATAAACTTAAAAATACAAGAGCCAGTGTAGATGTAATCCATTAATTACAAAATAACTGTTGATAATCAGAGCAGCAGTGAGTAGAGTCTAAATGGTTGCTAAAGAGTTCTGGTCTACCCCTATTCATACAAAACTGGGGTCTAGAGCTGATGGGATCAGCAGGTCTGCTGTTTTGGAGGAATGATATTTCGTGCTTTAAGGAACCTGGGGTTTAGCACTGGAAGATCCATGCTTGCTTCTAACTTGTGATTGAGCTATGTCACTTGGAGAAAAATACTTTATCCTCCAAATCTCAGGGTTTTTATCTGTAAAGTGAGTATGGTGTCATCTGTGTAGGACTGTTGTATACATAAGGTCATGTGATAGTTGAAGGGAGATGATTAGCCCATGTGAGTTTCTGTATAAATCCAGAAGTGCTATGCTTATATTAACTGCAGTGAATCTATTTCACTTATTATTTTCAATTGGCCTTGCTTTCTAAAATCTGCTTAATTTGTCTCCATTTCTTCATATGTATTCTAGTTAGCTGCCTTGGGAGCCCCTCCTAACAAGATAGGGTATAAATAGTGCACATTTCAATTATTATTGAGACTGTGACATGTGAATATGGGCCAAGTACAAATGTATATGGAATGAGTTTTGTATCTTGGGGAAGATTTGATTCAATTATAAAATAAAACTTGAAATCATAAAAGTTATTATAAAGTTCAAATATGTTAAGAAGTATTACATAGTAAAAACCTATAAATAATACTTTTAGCTAATGTTGAAGGGATAGGAATGGGCAGCTCATTTTGTAACTAGAGTTGTCTTTATTCCAGAGAACAGGAATTGAGATGGGTGAGAGTCCCTCACCATGCTGTGTGTTTCCAGAACATTCTGGGACTAGGCTCTTTGGACAGTACCGTGTCCCTCCTGGTGGAATTTTCCTGGGGATGGGCAAGTAGGGTCACCTGTAGCAGCTGCCCTGCTTTTCTGTCTCCTTTTGAGGGTGATGCTCTTCAGCTGTGTTTGGGAGCCTTGTGCTCTCTGTTGCCTGATGCCCTTCTCCCACCCAGACTTGGCCCAGGGGTCCAAATCAGATGCCAAATCTCTTGCATTTATCTTCTTGACTTTATTGCAAAGACTCAACTTCTCTCCTCTTTGTGGGGTGGACTCTTCCTTTTGTACATTGTCCCCTAGCCTTTGCTGAGGGCTGGTGTTGCTGGGGGAGCAGTGTGACTGTTTCTCAGGCAGGAGCTACTTGGTGATTAATAACCCTGGAGTAGAGATCACTATGAGTTTTGTAATCTAGACTTCCCAAATGAGTAGGGAAGATGTGGGATTATTTGCAGGAG